GTATATCCCTTATGGGAGAGTAAAGCGTTGAACGATCACGTGCAAAGAATACGTTATGCCAGTGTTTCTTACCTTGTGTGCCGCGACATGAGTGTTAAGAGCTATTGGAATTTCAGATGCACTTATTTTTCGTTTATTTAATGATGCTATCAGTAGCCCGGACTATTTGTAGATTTTCTTAATTAAAGTTGAATTGAAAATGATGTGGAAGGAAGCTGTTGTAGCTTAAGGTAATATCCCGGGATTTTCCAGGAGGATCAGAAGAGAACCACGGAGAACATAAATCATAATACTCTGTGTCCTAGCCGAGATTCGAATCGGATATCTCCCAAATGCAGATAAAATTGTTACTGTCTGAACCAGTTTCTACCATCTCTGCGCATGTATCAGTAGTTCATGAAATGTGGTTATAGAAGTGAGATATTTCGTGATGTGGGTTATGACACAGCGTTGCTTTGTCACCTCATCGGCTGTTTCTTGTTAAAGTGTTCTTGGTATTGAAACTTCTATCAGCAGATAAAAAGTAAAGCTATCCCTGTACCAGGTCTCACAACCCCATAGGGTTGTGAGACGTTGGGGGTCCCACATTAACTAGACAATCAGCTCAAAGATGGCGNGCGGCTGGAAGGATTAGGTCAACTGAAAAAGAATCCAATAACCTCATCGGGATTTGAGCCCCCTACCTTCCGGCTTGTAGCGTGCCCCCTCATATATATATAGGTGTATATATATAATAAATATGAAAATAATTTTCACGTTTTAACTCATACCGCTGTATCTTCAGTCATGTAATAGATTTAACGAGCCCTTTAAATACAACATTTACGTATCTCTTTGTATTACAAATGTCCCATTAATTTGTAGTGACGCGATATTAAAACAAAGATTGTCAGTTTTAGAGTGAACTTTACTGTGGAACAGTATATGACACTATGGACCAAGGTGCAAGGAAATTGAATAATATAATGAGCCACGTTAATTTCAGGACAACTGCCATATAAGAATTTTATAAAAAAAATATGTGCACCACATATTAAGAATAATTACTGAAGTATTTTAGAACTATTTTAATTACATACAAATAAAAAAACACCGTGGCCTTTAGTCCGCAAGCGAACTATATCGACCGAGCGACCGCCGCTTGTCGGCGAAGTTAGTGCCAACTTTTGCGGATAAAGGATGTCGCATGGTCAGCGCAACGGATCCCCACGGTCGTTAATCTCGGTTTTCTAAACCGGAGCAGCTACTTTTCCATCCAAATAGCTCCTCAGTTATCCTCATCAGGCTGAGTGGACCTCGTTCAAGACCCACTACTTCTCAGAAAATGTGGTAGCATCGGGATTCGAACCCGGTACCTCTGGATCTGTAGCCAGGAATTCTGACCACCAGACCACAGAGTAGGAATTCTGTTACGATTATCATTGCAATGCTAATCTTGAAAAAATACAGGCTGCATAAAGAGCAACCCCCATTTTCGTGACATGCCACCATAAATTCTCCATGATATTATGTGTTCCATATTTATTTTTAACATTTCTCCAAAGATGGTTTCATGACGGAAAACTGTTGAAACTAAATGTGGAACACATATCTAATTTCGTGACCAATTTAGAGTGCCGTACCGGGAATAAGGTAGATACGACAAGAAACTGGGTATGTTTACCTTAGTAAGAACCCATTCTCCTACTCTCCCCACCACTTGTAGGCCTGACCAGTGTTTATTCTGTCAGTTCGCCCCCCTTTATTTTCAATTTGTGCTTATCTAATGCAGTTATTTTAAAAGGTTATCAACCCCGTCCAATGTCATTGATATTTTTTTATCTTTCATCCTTGACATGTTTCGGTCGAAGCGACCATCTTCAGAAGGATATATCAATACACACAGAAACTGCTACTACAATGTGATTGGTCAACATCAATACATACATACAGTATCATCACAATGCCATGAATGTAAACCCGGCGTCTTTAACAACTGCAGCGATGTGCATGAATACATAAAAATATTTATAAATTATTCCAATTAGTTTATTTACATGTGTTGTAACAAGACTTTGTTAAAATTTAGAACCAATTTGGTTCGTGTCCTTTATACTGCCTCTCTTTAAAGGAAGTTGAGTGTCTGCCACGTCGTGGTTCCGTCGTTTGAAGAATAGGATTCTTAGTGTTGTCTTGTTCTTCTGGCCGCGCTGTTTTTATACAGTTAATAACTTTTGTAATATTGTTAGGCCGGTCACGGTAGCCGAGCGGTCTAACGCATGTACTATCTTCGCTCGCTTGGAAACCGGGATTGTGGGTTTGAATCCCACTCAGGGCATGGATGTTTAGTTTGTGTGTGTGCGTTTTTCTGTGTTTGTATACAGGTAGAGGCCTTGCGACGAGCTGATCAACCGCCCAAGGAGTCCTACCGAATGTGTAAGATATAGAAAAACCGAAGTGAACGGAGAAGTTCATGGAGGTAGGCCTAGGCCCACTGGGGCTGTAGTACCAAGGGGGGAAACAAATATTGTTAGTGTGACGGACCAGGATGAACAAAGTCATTACCTTGACCATTCTGGCCGTCTTGATTTCTGACTTGGATTATGCAGCAGCTTGTATGTGGAAGCGATGCATTGGAGTGATTGAGCACGATGTTATCGACACGTACGAGTGCTCTATCTCGCTGTAGAGATGATATTGCGTTGTTCTGGTTGTGGAGAAGCGTAATATTATATCACGTCCAAATACCCATTACTGTTTATTGTTTTTCCAGCGAAGAAAAATGAGTCTATCACTTGTTTGCTTTTGAGTGCACGCCACACATTCACCTTAGAAGCATCCCTTCATACTTCATCATCTCTTTCGTGTTACAGGTGCTCGTTGGATTGACTAGAACCGCCCATTTAGCAGTTACGCCTATGTACAGTCCCTGCCGTGTGGAATATTTCCGCGCCTCGAAATTAATTTTGCTCATATGTTCATCGTCTTATCTTCATACAACCTACATCAATGTAGTTAATTCAGGGCAAGAGTAACAATCGGGTTCATTAATATGTTGTGCCAGATTGAAATAAATCGTCATTTCACGTTTGGGTTTCTAGTGCGCGTATTGTTATTTTCCTGAAAATACACCTGTGTAAGAGTAGCTCTATTTAGGTAGGCGGTCTCCACAAATAAACGAAATTCATGATTTATTTCAACCGTCTTCCAGTGCATACACTCATCTATCTCCTCTTCTCACTCGCACTACACGTTTCGGCACAAAAGTGCCATCTTCAGGTGCTTATTCGATTTACGCTAAAATAGTTCATTGCATGCCTTGTCGTCTTCATATTAAAATAACTAAAATATATATTTATCATATATATTGATAAATGTTAAATGTTAAAAATATTAAAATTGTTCAGGATTTTTCATCCCTACGTCGTATCTCACTACGCGAGTCACACCTATCCTCTTCTGTCGGAGCACTCTTTCTACTTTCGTGTGTGTATTGTGCTTTGTGTTGTGTCTTGCTCCTGTGACTGCGTGTGTTATACTGCTGGGCCTGCTGGGTATTCAATAAAGCTCGCTTCACGATCACAATACTTTCTGTCATAAGTAAAGTAAGTAAGTAAAGGTATCCCTGTAACAAGCCATGGAGGCCCATAGGGTTGTGAGATGTCGAGGTTCCCACATTTCGTCTAGACAATCAGCTCATAGATGGCGGTAAGGTTGTCAGCCTTACGCGCCGGCCGCACTTTACCCCCCAGGAAAATTATTAAATTTATTCCTGGTACTCATTTCTGCTAGAGGCTGAGCCGAACCCGGGGCCATAGTGCGGCTGGAAGGATTAGGTAAATTGAAAAAAAAATCCAATGACCTCATCGGGACTTGAATCCTCGACCTTCCAGCTTGTAGCATAGTGCCTCAACCAATCTTATATGCTCTGTATATTAGGAAGTAAAGGTGTGCTACAACCCCTTTTCATTCCTTACCGAATCTCATACTTACTTACTTACTTACATACTTACTTATGGAGCTGAGCCCTTCTTGAGGAGCCGCCAAATCTGCAGTTTCTCAAGAATTTCCCAGTATTTTATGGAACCCGAATGTTCATCACTGTGTTCACAAGAGCCCTCCACTGGTCCATATCCTGAGCCTGACCAATCCAATCCATACCATCCCATCTTATCTCTCTAAGATCCATTTTAATATTGTCCATCCACATACGCCTTGGTCTTCCCAGTGGTCTATTTACTTCTGGCTTTCCCACCGATATCCTATATGCATTCCTCTTCTCCCCCATTCGTGCTACATGTCCTGCTCATTTCATCCTTGACTTGATCATTCTAATTATACTTAGAGAAGAGTACAAGTTGTGAAGCTCCTCATTACCGAATCTCATTTTTTTTCCCCTTGGCACTATAGCCCCAGCGGGCCTAGGCCTACCTCCATGAACTTCTCCATTCACTTCGTTTTTTCTAGATCTTACACGTTCGGTAGGACTCCTTGGGCGGGTGATCAGCTCGTCGTAAGGCCTCTACCTGTACACAAACACAGAAAAACGCACACACGCAAACTAAACATCCATGCCCTGAGTGGGATTCGAACCCACGATCCCGGTTTCCAAGCGAGCGAAAACAGTACATACCTTAGACCGCTCGGCTACCGTGACCGGCACCGAATCTCATACACAAAATAAATTTATGGAAAGTTTTAATCCCTTTCGTAAGAATGCTGTTATTTTATCTTCAATGAAGTCATGCTCGCTTCATCTCCTCCGCCACAATAGCATTTTTTTTATTTATACACTTCAGATCATCTGATATTAAAGCAATGGACTGTCTGGTATATGTAGCTTCTAAGGAAATCAGTCTAGGAGACATCTTCCGTCACTAAAGAGCTAAAATTTATCATTAGTTCTTTTTACGAAGCAGAAAATATGTTGTTATGAAAATAAACTAACGTAAGGAGAATAGAATGGAAAATTCCAATGGAAATGATGTAAATAATCTATATATGTTTTCTTTTCTCTCTAGGATGAAGGGTGGAAACTGAACCGCACCAATTACTATCAAGAAGGCTGGCTGGCAACAGGCAACGTACGGGGAATTGTCGGCGTCACATTTACCACGTCACACTGCAAGAAGTCCGTCGACTTCCCACTTAGAACAAACTATAACCTCCGCGGGCACCGTTCTGAGGTGAGTCGGAGAGTTCTCGGTCTCAGACTAATTCTGTGATAGCGAAACTAAATACCAGTGCACGCCATTGAAATCTGATATATTTCATTTAATTCTAACCCTTCATCTTCTTATTGGCATATTCTAGAGCACAGTCGGGAAGCAATGACGATAAAACTTATCTGTTTCAGACCATTCTGAATATAAAGTGTCAGAGTTAAATGTGGTTTAGCTGTATGGATTTTAAGTTTCATTACCGCACATTTTAAATGACTCAACTAATTTAATAAATTTATCTAATTCAGTGAGAATGTTGTAGGGGCACGCGGTAGCGTATTTGGTTGAGGCATTATGCTACAAGTCGGAAGGTCGCGGGTTCAAGTCCCGATGAGGTCACTGGATTTTTTTTCAATTGACCTAATCCTTCCAGCCTCACTATGACCCTGGGGTTGACTCAGCCTCTAACAGAAATGAGTACCAGGAATATTCTTGGAATGTTATTGGGGGTAAAGGGCGGCCGGAACGTAGGGCTGACAACCTTGCCGCCATCTATGAGTCGATTGTCTAGAAAATGTGGGAACCTCAACATCTCACAACCCTATGGGTCTCCTAGGCCTGTTACAAGGATCCCTTTACTTTACTTTACTGTACCTTACTTATTTACAGTGAGAATGTTATATAAAACTTTACTCCTCACAGGACCTGATGTATTACGTCATTGTACCCCTTTTTCTTGTGCCATATCTGCCGGAAATCTGATCAATAGTTATATGTGACTTCTAAATCCACACTACGGATCCCATATATACGTAATTTCACACTGATATATTGGGTTTTTAGACTTTACCCATCGTCCTGGTGAAGGAAAACACCTATTCTGTTGGGTCCGTTAGAAAGAGCTAGCCTCAATCACTGGACCGTCGTGTTTTTATTAGTTATCTTAAAAACCAGGACGATGGATAAAGTCCAAAACCCAATATATCAGTGTGTTATACACTATCGTCAGAATCATATAGTAAATACGTAATTTCGTCTATACATGGAGTTAGGCAAGTGGGAAAAATTTTGGGAAAATTATGTATAAAGTTAAGATCTGTAAGTTTGTGACAATGAAGAAACATAATTATGTTTCTGGACATTATCCATCGTCTTGTGTATATTTGAAAACGTTTCCGAGACTGGATTCTGTCTCCGTCTTCAGATAAAACCAGTCGGTACAGCTAGTCCCTATCTCCGGACACCTGTACCAGCACGAAGATAGGGACTAGCTCTATCGATTGGGTCCAAATGAGGAGGTTTTACCTGAAGACGGAGACAGAATTCAATTTCCGAAACGTTGTGTTTTGAAATACCAGTCTAGAAACCCGAAATCAACGGCCGTGTGGATTCGCTGCGCTGACCACGCGACATCCTCTATCCGCAAAAGTTGGCACTAAACTTCGCCGACAAGCGGCGCTCACTCGGTCGGTATAGTTCGCTTGCGGACTAAAATCATCGAGTATTTTTTTTTTGTGTTTTGAAATATAAACGGGACGGCGTTTTAGGTAAAGATAGGGCAATGGATAATGTCCAAAGACCTAATATTTGTATTGTATGAAGATGATAATGATATTCCTTCATACTGGTAAAATAATAGACTCCTTCCATTGCCGAGAACACTCTTCCGTATACCAGGTGAAATTTTTATGTTTATGGTTCTGAAAACAAAATGTTTTGCCTCATACTCGGATCTTCTGTACCGGAATTCGTATAACACCCGACGATGTACACCTCATCAACTTTTAATGGGGATTTCCACCTCAGACAAACTAGTCTCAGGAACTAATGACTAGGCCGCGCCATAGCTCAAGCGGTTAGTCGCTGGCTTTCCACCGCGGCGGCCCGGGTTCGATCTCGGGTCTGGTCAAGTTGGATTTGTGGTGGACAGTGTGGCGCTGGGGTGGCTTTTCTCCGAGTACTTCGGTTTTCCCTGACAATCTTCATTCCACCAAATTCTCTATCATCATAATCACACGGGGCAGGCTACAATAGGCCAATCAGTGGCCGCCGTGCCGAGTGGACCCAGCTGGACTCCACCCCCCACTAAGCGAATTAAAAAAAACAACTAATGACTACTGTACGTATATTTCAGTCTAACATTGTTGACCCCAAGTACATTCAGTAGCAGACAGAAGTAATTCTGCCATCCATTCAAGCACTATGGTAATCTGTAAGCAGATCATCGCCCTAACCCTTTACCAAGTTACTCGTACTTCTAGTTTGGTAACCATTGTTAAATTCATTCATGCCTCTCTACTTCTTATGTCCGCCGATCACAGTGGGCTCGAGGTGTAAGGTACTAACTGTCTTCGCCCACTTGAACGCTGGGGCCGTGGCTTCGAACCCCACTGGTGGCGCGGAAGTTTATCTACTTTCATTTTGTTTGTGTTGTCCTGTGCGGGTAGTGGCCTTGCGACTGGCTAATCCCCCATAGAAGGAGTTCTACCGAGTGTCTAAAGATTAAGAAACTGAAATGAAACGAAACGTTTCACGGATACTTTGTGCTTCAGAGGGTGCAACAGGAATATGAATGACTCCTTATGTCCCGCATCTTTATTATACTGTTGCTTAATTCTTGTAATTTCATTGAGCAGGTTGGCTTAGTTGGTAATGCTTCTAACTTGTACTTGGGAAGTGCCCGGTTCGAGTATCGACAGGGACACCGATTATCCTCACTGATAATCTTCATGCTATTTATTAGTCCCTTCAGGTGAATATGAAGATAGAATCTTGAATTATACCACAACCCCTTCCTTTTATATCCTTTCCAATTTGTTACTAATTGATTACCCTACCATCCGGCACTATATACGAGTAATTTTGATATTGACAGCGTCGCAAGACAAACCAGTGTCAAGGTATATTCTTCAGGGAAGCAACAGTTTGTCAAAGAAACAGCGATAGAGAAAATGAGGTGACAAAACAAAGCTGAATATTGCCTCATTGTTATTACTGCATTTTGTGAAATCTTGTTAAGTTGTACAGATGCTTTTGAACTCAGAATGCCTCCGCGCCCCGGGGATGGACCCACTTCATGGTTATGGATACAAAAACAGTGGGATCCAACTTCGTAAGTGCTAGATCGAACGTAGAGTATTAGACAGGAGGACGAATGGGGGTGCGTCATGTCAGTGAGTGACGTATACCGTTACGTCACACTTAAAAAGTTACTGGATACTTCTGGTATTTATACACTGGATGGAAATTGAAGTATACTGGGTTAATACTGTCACATGTTCGGGGTTCCGTGACTGATGATAACGGATTCTTGATTGAATGATTGGATTTATTAACACCTTATACAGTCAACTCGTACTTATGAGTAATACAGCGCTATCGCTGATTTGCATAATTTACAGTTCACCGTTACACACGCATTAGGATTCTCAGTCTTCATTAGTCGTATCCTGGTAATGGAATTAAAACAGTCTCACTCTGACTGAATCTCTGATCACACACTAAGTCTTCACAGGCTGACTTGTAATTCTTCTTCAACTACTAACTTCCCGTGCCGAATCGCATCCCAAGGCTGTAACAGAACTTCACAAGACCAATTCGGTTCATTTCCTCTCGATCCTTCAGTTCTCTTGGCACTCACCGTGCGCACACTTTCCGAAACTTCAAATGACCGTGCATTATGCAGTACGCTAAACCATAAGAGCGTCATAGTGCAGTTGCTACACTGTCTGTCGTTATCCTCTTGTCAGCTCGAATCAACTCTTCCATCCACTGCACAGTTGCTTCTGTCGCAATCTCCACGGTACGACCTGGTCGGCCATCATCTGCGACTTTCGAACTTCTTTGAGAGAATTTCTCGACACAGTCTTGAACCGCTTTACGTGATAAACACTCCCCATCGCAAACAGGAAGCATGTCTTTATGAATATCCTCTGCATAGAGTCCTTTTGCCCACAAAAGACGCGCAAAATAAGTCTGCTCTTCGGTAGTATAATTCTTAATCACGGCCGTCATTTTGACTGCTGAAACGAGCCTCTGAACATGCGCATGCGCGTCTGCTACCTAGACTGTTATGAAGCTGGACTGCAGTGCTACTTAGTAATACGCATAGAAAACCTATTACATGCATTACAGCTGCTTTAATTCCATTTGTGACCTACTCGTTGACTCTCCCTCGTATGTTCTGACTTGTTTAGGCTAAGTTCAAAATCACCTGTGAGGGCTCTGTATATAGATAGGACATAAATGTTTGAGAAATTAGATTCCAGTTTGCATAACATTTTATGTCCTGTTCATTACATTGATTTTTGTCCATATTTCATGATTACACGTATTATGGATTATTTTTGACAAAGATACTCCTCCTCTTATCAGCATTTGTCTACAGTAACCATCTCCTACAATATAACTGTTTAGATTGACCTGTACGATCCCTGCTGCTTTCCTAATTATTCAGATAGAAGTAGTAACGCCCTTAGCTCCACACAAAAGTGTTGCTTCCACTGCAAACAAGAAAATATAATAAGAGTTACACATCATAGAATATAGTATACAAATCTTGAGAGCTGTCATGAAATAGGAAAACAAAGTGTGGATACGGACAACTGAATTGTCATTATGACTTTTTCGAGATTATTTTCTGCTGCTGTGGAAGCTTTAAGATGCCTCTTCATAGCACAGCACTGACAGTTTACAGTAAATTACAATTCATGTTTGTCGCTTTCACTCTTGAAATGATGCTTTGCACTGTAGAGAAACAAACACAGTTGCATTAGTTCAGTTCAGCTCAACACTACGCAACTATGCCAGTGGCCAGTATGTTCTGAAGTGATACTTAACATAGTAGGTATGTCTGTTTCCGCTCTTCCACCATTTCCTTCCCTACCTCCCTCACCCCGCTTCATCACCCACAAATGCAAGATTAGTCTCTGTCAGTAATTGCTGTTGCTATTAGTATTAATATTACTATTATACTCGTCCAACTTCTTTATCAAAGTACAGACCATACATTATTTTCACTTAGT